GGCCACCGCCATGAAAGAAATTTCAGTCCGAAGAGATTCGACCAAGTTGGTGGTGCGCTCGTAAGTGCTTTGGGAGGCAGTACAATCGACAATGGGATCCAGGTGCTATCATGATTAAAGACAAGAGATCAAATGCTTTGACAGGTGAGGTCGAAACTTTCCCAATCCCAGGAGACTGACGCGTGGCTCGGGAGAGGGCTAGCCGGTCCTCAAGGAAGGGGGCTAGCCGGTCCTCAAGGAAGGGGGCTGCCTCCCCCTCCCTCCCCTCCCCTCCTTCCTTTTCCCTCCTTTCTTTTTGTCCTTTCTTTCTTTTCTTAATTTCCTTCCTAACACTTTTCTAATTTAAAACATTTCCTAAAGGCCTTTCTCCTAATTTAAAACCTTTCCTAAAGGCCTTTCTCCTAATTTAAAACCTTTCCTAAAAGCATAACTTATGATTTTATTCTCCTTTCCTAATTTAAAACCCTTTCCAGAATCTGAGATATTAATTTTTTTTATTTTCTTTATTTTAAATGTTTCCTAAGATAGGTCATATCTCTGTATAAATAGGAGAGGTTGTACTTAGAGTTACTTAGGGGGTTGTTTTTTATGAAATTTGAATTCAGTTTTATCTGAGTGTTTTCCCTCTCGAGGATTGCATTCGATGTCATGGTAGTGCTCTGGTTGTTCCTTGTCCAAGGTGGTGTTCGTCTCCACGAGTCCGAGTGGGGCTCTGGCTGTATCTCGGTCTCGTCGAGATATTTATCTTTCATTCCGCCCATCCTTTTGCTGTCCACCCGCTCCACAACCCTACGACAGCCCCACTGCTCCATCCATACTGCCTCCATGCAGGTTGCTGCATATCTACTGCCCTTCTAGCCACCCTGTCGGCAGTTGTCCTGCTTTTCTGCTACTCTTTCAGGTTGCTTCTATCCCTTCTACAACCTCCCTTCAGGTTGCCACCGATCTGCCACTCTGCCACCCTTTAAGCCACTCCGCCAACAACTATCATGCCTCTCTGTTGCTCTTCCATGTTGCTGACAGCCCTCCTACATCCTCCCTACAGGTTGCCGCCGCCGACAGCTTTCCTGCCTCCCTACTGCTCTTCCAGGTTGTTGTCGGCCCCTTTATGGCCTCCCTGCTGCCCTTCCAGGTTGCCGATAGTTCCTTGTAGCCCCTTGCAGGGTACCACAGCCCCTTGCTGCCCTTCCAGATCGCCGTTGTAGCACTACTTCTCCGGTCTCCCTCCTCGTCAAGCCTGTTGTTACTTTATTTGTTGAGTCTTTGTTGTAATGTTAGTTCCGTGTTTTGGTTTATGTTGTGTCTTTTTCTTTTCTTTTGAGTCATCGTTGTAACTTCCCTTTTTATTTATTAATACATTCGTGTCGTGGTTTGGATAACTCCGGTATCAATAAGTGATAATCCTTAACACTTCACAATGAACTATTTTTAGAAAGTTGCCTACAAGAAATATGTTTTGAGCTGGCCAGGCTCGCCTTATTGATATGAGAGCGGAGAAGTTTACATGATTAGATCGATGCAATGGAATATTCTTTCTCCGTTATATGACATCCCAAATCTTTAATGCATTTAGTTTTAATTGAACAGGACATGTTCCAAACGATATTGAAGGGCTCTTTGAGTATAATTGATAAAGACACCCCAATTCAATTTTATTACCAAAATTTTGTAAATCTACCATTGAGAACTTTCTAAGCAGGGATCGGGATAGATTTATAAACACGTTTAATCAAATTGGAAGATTTAGCTGAAGAGGAAGAGGCCTCTTCAGCTAAAATCCCTAGTCTAAACATTTCTAGATGTATTGGGTAATTTATACCTTATAGATAGACATTGATATTTGAAATCATTCCCTTTTTCAAACAAAATGGATTCAATTTGAAAAATTGTTTATGCAGATCATGAATCTTATGCATATCTTTATTCTCTTTCGCTTACTTGAAATTCTTGTTCTGATTTTTCTGCATGATGCCCTAGTTAGAGGGCGACAAAGTATGACTATAGTTTTCTATAATGTTCTTGTCACTTTTATCAAAACCAACTCTGGTCTTATTTATAATGATTGATGATCTTACTCCCAGATTAGCATCGCTATGTTTCTATTTATTGTGATGTTGCATCACCATTCATTTTGACCGAGACATGTTTTTTATTAGGGCTGCTAACGAATCGAGCCAAGTTGAGCAGGACTACGCTCAAACTTGAGCTTTTTTATAAAATTTGAGCTCTAGCTCTTGGTTCGTTTGCCATATTTACTATTTAAGCTCAGTTCATATTTATTTTGTATGATGATAATCGGGTCATTATTGTGCAGATTAATGTAGTCTTATTGAGCTACTTGATTTTTAAACAAAAGACCTTTATTGAGCAAATTAAAATTAAATTTAACAAGCTATATAATTTTTAACCAAATGATTTATCTTGCAAATTAATGAGTAGTTTGATTGCGCTACTTGTTCTCTAATTAAAGGAGATTTATCAATCTTATAATGACTTACTTGTTGAATTTATAAAAATAAAGTAGTTTTTAAATAAATGAGCTACTAAATGAATAACTAGAATAAGCATGCAAACTTGCAAATTAAATTGACAGCTACATAAACAAGCTTTTTATCTTATTATATGTATTATGAATAAAAAAATTAATTTAATTTAATATAAATAAGTTTTAAATGAGTTTTTATTTATAAGCCTTAAATTAAGTTTTACTCATTCAGAAGCATTAAATCAAGCTTTAATCATAACTTGTTCATAAATTTTAAAGAGATTGTTCATTGAGCTACTTCACGAGCTTATTCGTGAGCCTTAAATGGTATATTGTTCATAAACAAATAGAATAAGAAGTTATTCAACCTTTTTCATTTATCAATCGATTATTTATAAAACTGTTCATACTTCTTCAATTAATTAATCACACGAACATTAACAAACTCTCATCGAGTTGAGCTATGAGTAGCTTATTGAACGCTCTATTTATTTGCAGCCTATTTTTAATAGTAACTGTTTTTTTTAAGGTTTATAAAGTACGGAGTATGTTAGAAGTGTGCTTAATGTTTAGTATTACTCTTATTGAGATGACATTGTAGCATTTACGAGTCCTACAAAGCTGCGGGCTATGGCTGTTTGCTAAATTTTGATCTAACATATTTCTCTTATCTAATTATTGTTTGTTTGACAAGTTCTATATCTCGGATTTTTTTTTAATCTAATGTGATTACATTCTTAATTTCTCAATGTTAATTTTAAATTGCACATCCAAAAAATGCAATGGGCATAATGTGTGATAGAACAATACCTCTTATACTTAAATGAAAAATCTTATAAGATGATGGTGAGAACTGCAATTCTTTATAACGCAGAGCGTTGGCCTTTAAAAGGGGAGCATAAAACTAAGTCAAGTGTTGCTGAGATGAGAATGCTTAGATCGATGAGTGGCTTTACACTTAGAGACAAAATGCAAAATGAATATATGCGTGAAAGGGTTGGAGTAGCTCCAATGACAGACAAGATTAGAGAAAGTCGTCTTAAATGGTTTGGGCACATTAAACATCGACCATTTAATCACCCAGTTAGAAGAGTGGATGTTTTAGATCTGGCTTATGTTAAGAGAGGTAAGGTTTGACCTAAAAAGATTTGGGCAAGTTGTATAAACATTATCTTAATTTATTAGAATTAAATGAAAAAATGACACTCAATATGACACAATGGAGAAAAAAATATTCATTTAGCCGACTCTACTTGGTGGGATAAAGGCTTTTTGTTGTTGTATCCCAATAAAAGATTTGCCATTGTCCTTCCGGCGTGTCCCTAATGCATCTAATACCTTTTTTCAAGTGGTAAAGGTTTTATGTTGATTCTCTATTAGCCTAAATGTATTACACATTTTATAGGTTTAGATATGATATAATCTTGGGGACATGGATCTATATATCTCTTGATCTTGAACTCTGGGTTTGTGACCTGATCTAGCAATTGGGTGATCAAGTCACTGGTTTGAATGTCCGGTCAACTGGTTGATTTTGGTCAATTATGAAATATATATAACTTCAAAGTCATTGCAACAATTCATTAGTTTGCTATAAATAGAATAGAGGATGTGTTAATTTTTTCTCGAGCTGATTATTTTAATTTCAATTTATTCATTTATCATATGAAATATTGAGACAACAATAACAACATTTTATATTTTATTTATTTGGAACTCAATTTCTTCTCTTTTTATTTAAATGATGTTCTTTTCCAGACTTTATTATTGTTTTCATTTCAACAACAATCAAGGTTTGAGTGTTTTTTTCTCCTGTTATTTATGAACGGGGAAACATTTTCCTGGAGTTTGGGCCACAGGAAATGTCATCTATAGTTTTGTCAAAATAGTGGGTAAAATTCCTGAAGAGATGTTTTTTGTTGGCACAAAATGGTTGTTCAAGAAGTTCAACAGGTTATAAAAAAAGGCGATTACGGCAGTTTACTTTGGGATTTTATTGATTACAACATTTTGGGATTTCATGAGATGCAGTTACTCTAATGTACTGTTTGGATTGCTATGATAATCAATGTGGAAACGCCTCAGCCCTTCTCATTCTCTCTTCTTCCTCTTTTTCTCTCTCTATGCAGAAATTTCTATCAGTGTAGATATTTACATGTATTTTATGTGTTTTCTTGTTTATGGAAAACGAGTAGCAGGCATGCTTCTCGAAAGATTTTGCTACCTGTGCTTTGCCTCACATGAGGTTTCTGGAATCTCTTTTATTGTGGCATTTTTTTGCCCAATTGAAGGTACATGTTACCGTTTTTTATAAATTTATTTATACAATTTTCCACATTTGGTTGTTATATTGACCACCAATCATTGCTTACAAAGGAATTGTTTCGCTTTAGCAAATAATTTCCTCGCTGCAAAAAGTTCAGTGGTGGCACATGTGCAAGCTTGTATATACCTGTTTGAAAGTTTTATTACCCGTAGTTTCTTTTTAGTTTTTTTGCCGTGCATTTTCTTGCAGATCCAAGAGCTTCTTGGTGCATGTCACTTTCTAAGCCAACAGCCAATAGCTTCACACTCTCTTCAAAAGCAAGGATTTCTGCGTCCAGTTTCCGAATGTGAGTTCAATTTCTCCACTGCAATCGAAGAGCTGCACAACATGTCTGACACCATACCCGAACATCATCCTTTAAGAGCCACAGGTGCTGCTATTTCAACCTCCATTGCTCTCTTAGAAGGCTATTCTCCCACCTCTGGTGGACGGGTGATGGTCTTCACGTCAGGTATGGCCACAATCGGTCCAGGCATGGTTGCTGAGATCGACCACAGTAAGGCTATCAGAACCCAGCGAGACATCGTAAATGGAAACACATCCTTATATGTAAAAGCCTGTAACTTCTACCAGAAGCTTTCTCAAAGGCTACTAGACAAATCCCTCGTTCTGGATCTCTTCGCTTGTTCGCTTGATCAGGTTGGAGCTGCAGAGATGAGATTCCCAATCGAGACATCTGGCGGCCTCCTAATACTGACGGAGTCATTTGAGTCGGAACAGTTTAAGCGGTGCTTGAGACAGATCTTCAAGCATGTTGGATTCGATCACTTTGACATGAACTTTGACGCAACAATCAATCTGGTGACTACTAACGGTGTCAAAATATGTGGGGCACTCGGTCCTTGCATGTCTCTTAAAACCAAGAACAGGTTGGTAAGTGAGAAGGAGATTGGCCAAGGAGGAACCAGTTCATGGAAAATGAGCACCCTTACAAACAAAACAAGCTTAGCCTTCATCTTCCAAGTGGGTGATAATCAGCCAAATAACGAGCCAGGACCCGTCTTCTTCGTTCAATTCAAGACTAGATACCGCCATGGAAATGGCAGCATTCGCTTAAGGGTGACCACTGCCGCAAGGAGATGGGCTTCTGGAGCTCGTCATCTGGATATCAATGCAGGATTCGACCAGGAAGCAGCAGCAACCATCATGGCGCGCCTCGCAGTGAGTCGTGCGGAGGATTACCATGCCCGTGATGTGATTAGATGGCTTGATAAGATGCTTATCCGCTTCACTGCCAAATTCGGCGACTACGTACCTGAGGATCCGTCAAGCTTCCGCTTGCCATCGGGATTCTCCCTTTACCCACAGTTTATGTACTATCTGAGGAGATCCCAATTCATTGATATCTTCAACTACACCCCAGATGAAACAGCTTTCTTTCGGCTTGCATTGAACATGCAAGGGGTCACCGGAACACTAATCATGATCCAACCCACGCTCTTGCCGATGCCTGTTCTTCTTGACATCAGCTCGGTGTCACCTGATGTGATCTTACTGTTTGATTCCTATTTCCATGTGGTGATACATTATGGGTCTAAGATTGCTCAATGGAGGAAGAAGTTAGGGTTTGATAATGATCAGAGCCATGAAACCCTGAGGAAACTGTTGGAGGTGGTGGAGATGGATGCGGAGGAGCTGATTGAGGGGAGAATTCCGGTGCCAAAGCTGATTAAATGCGACCAGCATAGCAGCCAGGCAAGGTTTCTGCTTGCAAAACTAAACCCATCGGTGACTCAGAAGACAAGGCTGGCGGATGGATCAGAAGTCATATTCACCGATGATGTGAGCCTACAGGCTTTTCTTGAGCATCTTCAGTCTCTGGCTGTCCAGGGATGATTGGAAGCTTTTGCAGTCATAAAAGGTGCATCCACACCTTTGTTTTGTTTATTTTGCTTAATTCAGGTTTTATTGATGATGAGTATATGAAATGGCTTCAGCTGGTGAAAAGAGAGGATTTTGAAGGGAAATAAACTTGTTGTCGTTCTTATTGCTGCTGCTGCTGCCTGTAAAATTGGGTTCATCCTTTTCTTTTAATTAGTTTTTAGGCCAATCTACTTTATTATGGGCTTCTATTATCCCTTTATGTTCCAAGTCTGTAGGTCACTAAGCATATTGGTTGATTTTTTGATATTTGCTTGCTCCTTGTTGTATATGAAACTTTAAGTTGGTATGAAGATATATGTTTATGTGTAGTGCGCGTGTGTGTGTACATGGGAGAAATAGTTTCATGATTTTCCAAATGAAAATTGGCATTTGCTTATTTTGTCGGATTCAGGCCTAAATAGTATGTTATCGATTAGCATAAGATTTGATTTGTAAAATAAAAATTGGTGTATCCATTTATCTAGTTAGCTTAAGATGTGTTGTGTGCTAGAAAATTATCAAGGGTGGAAAAATCTTAAGCCTTATGGTTTGGTATAAGTTTTCTGCATACATAGATAAAATGTTAAGAAACGATCATATTTTTTGACATGAGAAAATCATGAAAATGGAAAAAAAAAATTTGGGCCTAATCCAGTTAAAATAATCCACTAAGTAAGTGAAAGTATAGAGATCCATTCTCATCAATTTAGAAATATGAGATTAAAAAAGTAGACGGTAGCAGTTCCACAATGATAATAGTTGGCGGTTGCAAAAGTTAGTTGGTAGTCATAACAGTCGTAGTTGATTTCAATAATTTTTAGTGATAGTTAAAAAAGACCGGCGGTCATTCACTATCATTTATCTTCATGTGCTATACTTAGTTGTTAGCTCGCTATTCTTTTCTCTCTCTTTCATGCGATGTTGTGAAAAATTATTGTCTATTTATAATTTTTGAGTGGGGCAATTTGGTAAGTTTGAGCAAAACACTCTATCAGATAGTCTGTGTTGATTCCTTTAATCATGCACTTTTTTTAGCATTTAAGTGCTTTAACGACATTGGAATTAAATGATCTTAGCTTTGTTGAATTTCTCTCATCGAGTCACTTGATTTGAGTATAATCATGTCAAATTTTGAATTCATTTAGCTTTTCAATTAGTGCTTCAAACTTCTGCTCAAATTTTAAGTGCTTGATCTAGGCTTATTTTGAATCATACTGAATCACTTTAAGTCTTATTGGGCTTGACTTGTAAATATGCTCAATTTAACTGATTCGATAAATTTCTTTGTACATATCAGTTGTCATTTATTCTCAAACATTGGCATTTATCATTTGAAAAGATATAGCAAGTCCTTGAAAATTGTTCTTGCTCAAAATTATAATTTCATAAATATTATAACGAGCGGTCGCTTTTAAACATTGATGTGGACCTCCCTTTAAGGTTGTGAACTAAATATTGTCTCATTCTTCGGCCATTTTTTAATTCAGCTTGTCGATGTGGGATGGTACGATAACCCGTGCAAATGCAGCGGGGGCAAACATAGGTGTGACAGTGAGTGTGTAGCTTCTAACGCACATGCAGGTGCAACAGAGCTCATGTGTTGGTGCAAAAGCGAGCGTGTCGCGCTTATCTTTGCTTTCTCTTGCGAATTGAAGTGTTCGATTGCAATGCATCGTGTAAACACATGCAGGGTCATGCACACATGCATGTTATGCATAGACATGCATAGGGGCCTGCACATGTGTGTGTTTGTGGCGGTTTACTTCCGAGGCCATCAACTATAAATTTTCCCTTGAGAGGTGGGAAAATTAACCCATTTTCTATTCTCTTTACACACTTTAAAATTTCTCTTAATCTATATGCTGTAGTTGTCATATTATCATCAGAATGTTGTTGTATGTTTATCTAGAGACTACAGTTGCATGTTCATTTCCAAATAGCTATTGCATCTTTATCTCGAGGTTGTTGTATGTTCGTCTCACTATAGGAATACAATTAATTAGCGTCAAAAGTAGTGTCTTAAAAATTAAGATGTGCATATTTGCATTGGCATTGCGGTGAAAATTCATCAGATTAAGTTAGGGTTTGAATTTACGTCGAAAATTTCCAAACCAAATTTTGCTTCAGAAATGGTGGATGAAATTTCAGCCGTATCGCTTTTCACTTTGTAACGTCGAAGTATCAATAGGTATTTCTCTATGGCAGCGTCATAAGTTTCGGATGCTAATCGGATGTAGGCTTCATTAAACCTACACGCTAGCTGCATTCACGCTTTTTCTCTTCTTAGTTCCATTAACTCCCACAAACTAGGGCTCCCTACGCTTCTTCCTCTATGGCGACCGTCCGATGACGCTTGCGGAGTTTTTCAACACTGGTGACCTTGCGACTAGTGTTGGACTCTGTCAATTCTTTTCAAGGTAACCCTTGTTTCACTTATCTCCTTCGCTTTTTTCTAAATCCTTTCATCTTCTTATCACAGATTTCTGTCATTTAGGTTTAGGGTTATGTGAATGTTTTGAGTGATGTTAATGTAAATGCCGTCGATTTTTTGTTGTTAAGATATGAAAATCTATAGGAATTGGGTGGTATGCATGTAAATGAAAAAAATTGGTGTATTTAATTTTGTTTAAACTTTATAAAAATTAAAAGTTAGGTTTTAGACTTCTAAAGACATAAAATTTGGGTGGTATGCTTATAAATGCCCCTTTACTTTTATATGTCTGAGAACACATATATGTATATATATACATGTGTGTATACATTTATGTGTTAGCTTTTTAAATACATAAATATGTGGGTGCATGGTATATTTGTAACTCCCATCTTTTACAAATCTCATTCAAGTCTAGTCTGATATTCGCATTATCCTTAATTTTGCTTTTAATATTCATCACAATGTTGAAGATATTACTGAAGAACTTTTTTCTTTTGGCATGACATCAAAATTGTGTATAATCATATTGTTTTTTTAATAAGACATCTCAAAAAATGAACATTTTCGTCCAATTATGAATAACACCAAAATCTGGTGGATGATGTGAAGAAAATTCAGGGTAATCAGTAAACTGTAAAATGTCACTAACAATCACGAATATATCAACCCCAATTAATTTTGGAGGTGACACTGATTTCTCAACTTTTTTTCGTTTGATTTTATTTTTTGTTTCTCTTGAAAGGATATTTAGCATGTAAAATCATACGATGATAGTCAAATTATGAATTTTTTCATCATGTTAAAGTGTAAATGTGTTAGATAAATTCATGCAGTATGGACAAACTAATTTTCACGTAGTACTTCATCTAGATAGCATTTTATACACAGAAAAATTACTTATTGTCCACATTAAAACTGTTTTAATTAAAAAGTTTCATTTCATAGAATTGTCAGATGTGATATCACATAATTCCCAAATAATTTATAGGCCATCTATCAAAGTCTGTAAATATACATCAATACTTTCTTTTTGGTCTATTGGGACATGGTATAATCACTATTAGAAAGATGGGTGTTATCATACACATGTCAAGTTGAAGATTATATGACATGATGATCACCGAACAATAAGAATAGGTCGAGGTGTTCTAACTGCATGATGTGAAGCCATCATAACATAAGTCAAGAATAACATTATGTGACTTCCAACTAGTTTAAGATATGCTCGATCAAAATATTTTTATGCTTCTTTATATATGTGATGACTTATTGAATTGGTTTCTTCTGACCTGTTATAATGCCATCTCGTATGTGGAGTAGTACATATAAGAGCAAATAGTTTTTAAAAATGTGGAATAAATAGTAAATAAAAGCGATGCTTGCATGAAATTTCTTTCTCTTGTTTTTTTTTTATTTTGAAATTTGAATATAAGTGTATAAAAAAATCTGCATTGAATCTCTAATGCCTTAGACTTATAAAATATCATGCATCCGTTTACATAACAATCAATCTTCTTTGATTTCAAAGCCAATTTGGAGACCAACTTTTTCATTCTGCACGAGTCTTGTGGAATTAAATTTTTTTTAGAATTTGTATCTTTCTATGAGCTTACAAACTAATCGAAGCACTCTCAGGATATGTTAAATTTTGTTTTAAGTTTCAATATTCCGAGAGCTGCAAATAACGCAAAATGAGATGTACAACCTTCCTATAGTGGCCTTTATACCGTATTAAATAATTCATAAAACACTTGAGCTTCTTGATTTGTTGACTCTTCCTCCACTTGAATTACATAATAAGGTTTATTCCATCGAAGACATTTTCTATAAATCTACTTGAGTCAAACTTATATTGATGATCATAGCTCATCGAAGGAGCAGAGTTAATCGAAGGAGCAGAGTTAAATATCGAAGGATTAACGTTGCCATGTGAAGTTAAAAACCAATAATCAGGTTGAAATTCCGGACGATATAAATTATACCTGACTTCGTTAGGAGTTAACTTTGCTCGATTCTTATGTTTTAACCATTGACACCGAAACTTATCATCAAATAAGCGGAATTCGAGATGCCTCTTGCACAAAGTTCTCAACAACGTTCAAGAATTCTTCAATGTTTCATTTTCTATTTGAATATAGTCTATTGTACATGTATACACTTAATGTATGAATTTTCATAGATGACATTTATATTTGATAAAAGAATTTATAAAACACAACTACTATATAGAAATATTATAATTTTTTCATGCATAAATCAAATAGCTAAGAGATTTGCATGTTACACACATATCATTCAAAACTTTAGTATCACATAAAAAAATATCACTATTTTCGATTTTTAAAAGTGAAATACATGTTTTCATGGATATATTTAAAGCACCGAAATGCAATGTATATAAATGCTAAAATTAAGATGTGAGATATATAAAATCCATGAGAGTTGTGTGCAATGTATGCAAATTTACCTTTAAAAAGGGGGTATTTTCATGCATTTCACACAATTTTTATGTAGTTACATATCTCAAACCTAAACTTTCATATTTGTACACATAACACTTAAAATTAGGACTTAACCAAACTGAGTTGTACTTAAAATGAAAGTTTAGGTGTGAGATACATAAATACTTAAGAATTATGTGCTAGGCATGCAACTTTCTCATTAAAATATAGGTGCTAGATATGGAAAGCCATAAGTGTTGAGTCATATGCATGTAACAATGATATACATTATAAAAAATGTAGAAAATTGAATCAAAAACATTTTTTTTAAACATTAAATCTCAAAATGAAAAAAATTCTACCGGTTCAAATTTAAAATTTTTTTTTGACTTTTAGTGGTTCCCATAATATATAGTAGTTGAATTAGTTAAATGGGGTTGACGACCTCTTAGGTTCAAGGGAGGGGAAAGTTTAGGGAAGGTTAAAAGTCACTAGGATGGGGCTTAAGGCATTTGATTTGATTTTGGTTTTATTGGGCTCATAAGTCTCATAAAATGTCTAAGGATTAAGCTAAACCTAATTGAGTTGAATTAAATTTGAGTTTCGTTGGTTTTAATATGAGCTTACCATTGAGCTGTTAACTATAATAAACGAGTTTGGAATTAGAGAGAGATTTGGATGGGGGCTATTTATTCATTAAGGGCCCGTTTGAGGCAGCTTATAAGTGCAGGGATATTTTTGAAAACGCCGCGGTACTGTTTGAATCGCGCGTTGTGCCTGCTTATCCTAAAACGCGGTTCTATTTTTACACTAAACGCAGGCCGCAGGTCAACTCCTGCGGTCGACCCGCGGGCTGCACACAAGCTGCCCCAAATGCACCCTAAAGCTAATGGGAAACTCCGAGGGGCACTAAGAAGGGATCCTAAGTTTATTGGTGAAGGCTAGCAATTTGATTGATTATATGTCCCTCACTGTAATTGATCTTAGCAATAGATTAAACAATTAGATACCCATACGATTTTAGTATTGGCTTTGGCTTTTAGACTTCTCTTCTCGGCATTACTTCTACAGACTTTTATTGATTCAAATCTAGTTTTACTTTTGCCACAATTAGATCAATCATTTAGTTTGAGTACGATAAATTTGTCTTAGCTATTCTAGATTTATTTAAATGCAAGCATAATATAAATGACATATGGGTTGCGTAAAATAAAAACCTATAAGCACTTTTATTTTGTTATCTCTGCAGTCATGATCTTATGTTTAACAAAAGTAATTATGGATCCAATTGGGCATAAGAAATCTAAGTGGCAATGAAACGTATAATTTTCATAGGTGAGGTAGGTTAAAATTCCATGCATAGCACACAATTTTTATGTATTTTCAAACCTAAACTTTCATATTTACTCACATAACACTCAAAATTAGGATTTAACCAAACTATTATGTGTGTAAATATGCAAATTTAAGTGTGAGATACATAAATACATTAGAATTGTGTGCTAGCTATGCAAATTTCTCATTAAATTTTGTGTTAGATGTTAAAAGCCATAAGAGCTAAGACACTTGTATGCAACCATGATATACATAACCAAAGTTATAGAAAATTGAATAAAAAATTTGAAATTTTCCAAAACATTAAATCCCAAAATGCAAAAAATTTAGTAGTTCAAATAATAATAATAATAATAACTTCAAGGAGTAGTGGAATTGAAGTTACCAACAATATGAGTGTTATAACACATGAAATGGTTAACTCTGGAGAAATTGCAGATCAAAGGGGTTCGGTCAGCTTCAGAGGAGAGTTAGCACACATGAGGGAAAAATGAGGAATTAGGGATGTTTGTTCCATATAAACAGGCTTTTCGACTACCCTTGACCGTAGGTTTTTAATTTATTAACGGGGGAAATCGTCGGTTAACATATAAGAACCATCATTTATTAAATATCCAAAACATGCGGTCTCAATTTATGGCAGTAAATAGCCATCGTTTTCTACTTTGGTATGAATCGATGGTTTCAATCGTCGGTTATTAATGCAATTCTGTCGGTTACATGTTTCACTAAAACTAATGACTAAACCCGCAGGAAGGTCTTCAGTTATATTAACTATAGGTAAGACATTAGAAATAATGGAAATTTTACCTACGCACTATTAGTTATCAGTTTTTTGGTGAAATATTGTTGAATTTCTTGTAGTGTACCCATAAACGACAGTCAGACAAGACGTGGGCTGACATTAAATCTCATTTGACACGTGTAAGTGGCAAGTAATTATTATACGATTCAAATTATTCTTAAATTTAATTTTACCTCTAACATTCGTTTATAATTTTTCGTAGGAAACCTTTGAGCAGTTGAAGGAGACACAGTCTGAACACACAGGACTTTTGATCTTTGGTCGTGGTCGATGTTCCTACGAGTTGTAGAGAGAGGTTGCTGGAGGCACGAAGAAAGGAAAGGTTTACGGATTGGGTTCGTAGGACAAGCACACAACGCTCATCCCTCCTTTAGTACATTAAGTTCTTTTACCATACCACCCATGAGGATGAGGTTTTAAACATGTTGCTGCATTCAGTGTTGATAAGGAGATCAGATTCTTTGCTAAGCTTGCTAAGATGAAGTCTGAATTGGAGACAAGCATGAATATGGAATTATAGGTATTATGACATTGGGCACACCTGAGAGGAAAACAACCGGTGGAGAATGAGTTCGAGGAGGGGACGAAGAGCATTTTTTTTATTTTTCGAAACATTTGAACACATGTTATTCTTGTGTATAAATAGTTTAATTCTTTGGTTCAGTGCAATATGATTATTTCTATTTTTAATTTATGTGTTCATTTATATGATTTTAATTTAATAACTACTTGAATTTGTAAATTAGATTTTGATAGAATTGAATCTTTAATCCTTTAATCATTTACTGTATTTAATTCTCTCATTCTTTTCGCAGCATGACCTATTAATGTAGTAGAGAATCGTAGAATTGAAATATGTATAATAAAAATATCATTGATCAAATTTTTTGTAGATCCAATGATTCAGAGTGGAGCACACGTCACTTGACAGACCTCAAGGGAATAAATAAATGTATCTAGAGGACAACCAAACAAAATTATGTAGTCGACTGGGTAGAGATTGATCGAGCTGCCAACTATGTTGTAACGATCGACCTAGAGATTGACCAACTCAGAGGTTGCTTAGGTAGCTGTCGAGAGACAAGAAGACGATTGGCTAGATATCCATAAATTGAATAGCATGAAGACGATTGATCGGGTGTTAACCGATTAAAGGATTTTGTGGGTGTAATTGTAATTTGACAATAAATCTAACCCCTATAAACATACGAGCTTTAAATGTAATAGAGGCTGGTCAAACCATATAAGAAAATATCTAATTTCTCTCTCTCTCTCTCTCTATATGTTTCTTTCTCCTTCTAAAACTCTATTTATTGGGTGTGATTCACAGGCAACCCTAGCTTCAATAATATACATACCTATAAATCTTAGCTCAAATTGCAGCAATAAAAACGTTGCCTTCAGGTTGTGGATATTCTTAATGTTTTGTTTTGCATGCTCTGAATATCCTTAATGTTTTGTTTTGCATTTTGTTTCCCAGGTTCAGAATATTCTTAATGTTTTGTTTTGCATTTTGTTTCTTAGGTTCTGAAGATTCTTAATATTTTGTTTCTTAGTCAGTGGAAGTATCTACCAATTCTTAATGCTACAAGCATTATCTACAATAAATGAATAAAAATTCATGGAAATAACAAAGAAAAAAAAAAAGTTTTCATGTGATGTAAATCATATTCATCCATCCCACTCTAAACAAATGAAAAGCCACTCGAAACTTCACACAATTGAATCTGAAAGTCCAAAACTCAGAATCTTACACAAGTTACTGTTGAAAATAACAAATCATGTGCTACCTGCTTCCACGAAAGTGTAATAAATTACACAGAACTTAAGCATCAATTATCTGTTTGAAATAAACAATAATAAATAAAAAAATAACGAATTAACAAAGCAGAGATGAATAAAAATTCCATGTATACATTAAGGCACATTACATAGTCCCTGTAACTGCTGACTGTAAAGCTGCAAGCATCTATTGCGCTTGGCTGCACATCTAAGAAACAAATAAAAGTTTAAGTACTAATCGTTCTTAGTATAGTAGGCAAATAACATGTAGCATATACGACAGAGAAGCAATAACCATAAATGCATATAGATGGCTTTAATTATGTTCTCCATTGACAGGCCTCCAGAAGGAGAGGAAGCTTCTGACCATCTTCCACATGGGTCCATGAATTTTTAGAAATAATATTATGATATAATATAATAAATTTTTTGTTCTGTTTGATTTATAAACTTTGTTTTTATTGTCAGAATTGATAGTATTTTATTGCCTCTCTTTTTGAAGATCTTTTTTCTTAATTTCTTAATCATATATTTGGTGCTGATTATTTCTTTTGGCTGATTGAACATGCCATCAATAAAAGCTGGTTGTGGCAGGTATGAACTGCTCTTTTTAACCCTGCTGTTTTTCTTTTGTCTCATCTATCATAATTTCTCCTTGATCTGTAACTTTTGTATCAGCAGAATTTACATGCAGCAAAAACTCTGAATCTTACAGAAGTAACTTGATTTTAAGAATATCAGACTGATTGTGAAGCATTCACGGTTTTGGATTTGGTCCTTACAATAATTACTGATAACTGTTGAAAATCATAGGAATATTATGTGAAAGATGCATGATTTTTTTGTTTTTTTTATAAATGAGTTTAAAGAGAGGAGATTATTAGTAAATAGTAATGTAAATGATAACTGAGGAAACATTTGAATGAACCGCGTAATTTCATTTTCTTTAGATAATGACAGATTTAATCACTATCATCACAGTTTAGAGAAAATTGATCTCACAAGTTTTGTTTTTTTTGTAAATTTACAATCGGAATTATCTTTTCACTGCCCGAAAAAGTAGAATTTAGCAGCGATTTTATCCAATAAAACAAAGTTTACAGAAGATTTAGAACTGCTATAAAGTGCTGCGCTCAGCTTTTTGGCTGTTGATCTATCAACTGTATTGTTTTGTGGGGGAACAAAACTGAACCATTCAGGCTTCAGCAACTAACAATTACAGAGAGAGAGAGAGAGAGAGAGAGAGAGAGAGAGAGAGAATACAAACCATTCAATTCCCATGAATTTAAATATCTAATATTGCATGAAAATGTGTAATCAAAATAGTCATATTGCTGATGTGATGAAAGATTCAGGTGGTATGAATGTAAAAAGGTAAATTGTATGTGTTAGATATGTAAATACAGAGGAATTGGGCGGTACATGCATGGAATGCAATAGAGATCACATGAGCCATTCCTGGAAGATCACATCCATGTCCTTCCCAGAAAAGATGATGGCCTCCAATTTCAGATCTTTTATCCTTTTCCGCTCTTTAGTGATTGTCCGATCACTGTTTATATTTTTTGTTTTTCAGTAAAATCTTACAGAGAACTGTAAATCAAACCATGCATTTTTTTTTCCTTTTTTACTTTCTGCACTTAATTTTTTTTCTATTTGCATTTTGAACATCTAAAATGCTTATTAAAACACCACAATATCCTCCTGTTGTTGTCATCTGGGAGCACGGGAGGATGAGGTTGGCGGACACGAGGAGACTGTATCACGAGAGCCATTGGTGATTGGAGGCAAAGCAACCACGTGCGAAGGAGCGGCGAGTTGGACGTGCGTACAGGCGGCGGCTGAGTTGCCGGAATAACTCGAGTGCGGCGGGAATTTTGAGAGCCTGCTTGGACATGTGAGGAGGTCAAGTTAATGGTGGAAGATGGTAGTTGTGTAAATATGAAATTTTGCTGGGTTGAATGCATAAATAAGTATGAATTAAGTGCTCGTCGCTTAAATATATTCTCTTTGTTTCATTAGTAAATTGCATTTCTTATTAATTACACATAAACTAGACATCTTATTAATGTATAATTTCATTAGGCATTTTTTTTTCATATTATTACATATATGTTATGATATATTAAGATAAAAGGGTATTGCTTTTTACAAATCAACCACCCTCTTTCATCCATTTTTGAAATTTGCACACAAATGTCAAAATTTATGGTAAATCCCAACCCGTCTTTTTCATGTTCATCAAATTCTTAATGGTTTGATTGTGGCATGACCGAGATGCTTAATGTCTAAATATCAATGATTCGGATGGTTTGTATCTAATTATCCTCGAGATAAATATATTGACTTATAATCTAAAAAATAAATTGATAATTTTTATGAATAATTGGTTGTTGATAAAATTTTATTATAAATAAAAAGTTTGGAATGCTATTGTTAGAATTATAATTTCTAATTAGTTTTTCTAAATAATAAAAAATTGCATCTTTGGAAATATTAAGGTTTTATAGCTTAGATGTAAGATATAATTTGGTTATTTTCTCAAAATGTGTGAATGTAATTAATTCGTTTTATATTTAATATCGATTTTTGTGAATGATTTGATGTTCTCATTTTACATTTATAATGTCTAAATCATTCCTATCACATCAAAAATATTACTCCTTTTTATTTATAAGATTTAAAATGCATATTTTTATGCATAGTGTATACAACAAAATGTCAGTATGAACCTCAAAGCGTTCGAATGACACAAAAAATGACCAAACAATCAAGGCGTCATAGCAACCTATTGCCAACTGCGTGGTCAGGAATTGATCAACACACCATGGAGAGAAATCAGAATGACAGATCACGCTGATAGTCCCGACTGACTGGGGCGCAGACTGCAATCCTTGGTTGCAGCTAATCAGCCGACCCGCCTTTACCACGACGGATGCGATCAACATTCGGCTAGGCGCCTTGGCCGACCAACTCGTGGGGCGTTTGCCACTCAGTTGGTTACCTTCGTCGTTCGAATTAGAGCAAGTCGACTGAATTGAAATTGTGATACCCATATAATATGAAATCCACACGATTAAGTTAAGCATCGATTGCATTAAGAGAGTTTTCATAACTGCTCTTTCATTTATGTAACTATACAAAATACTTCTCTATCAATAAGAGGTAAAAATGCAAACAAAGGGACTATTGCACCACACCATTATTCACACGACGACTGACTGGGGCGCAGACTGCAATCCTTGGTTGCAGCTAATCGGCCGACCCGCCTTTACCACGGCGGATGCGATCAACATTCAGCTAGGCGCCTTGGCCGACCAACTCGTGGGGCGTTTGGCACTCTGTTGGTTACCTTCGTCGTTCGAATTAGAGCAAGTCGACTGAATTGAAATTGTGATACCCATATAATATGAAATCCATACGATTAAGTTAAGCATTGATTGCATTAAGAGAGTTTTCATAACTGCTCTTTCATTTATGCAACTATACAAAATACTTCTTTATCAATAAGAGGTAAAAATGCAAACAAAGGGACTATTGCACCACACCATTATTCACACGACGATTGACTGGGGCGCAGACTGCAATCCTTGGTTGCAGCTAATCGGCCGACCCGCCTTTACCACGGCGGATGCGATCAACATTCAGCTAGGCGCCTTGGCCGACCAACTCGTGGGGCGTTTGGCACTCTGTTGGTTACCTTCGTCGTTCGAATTAGAGCAAGTCGACTGAATTCAAATTGTGATACCCATATAATATGAAATCCACACAATTAAGTTAAGCATCGATTGCATTAAGAGAGTTTTCATAACTGCTCTTTCATTTATGTAACTATACATAATACTTCTCTATCAATAAGAGGCAAAAATGCAATCAAA